AAAAAAAAAAAAAACAAACAAAAAAGTAGCCCTACAAGTAAACAGTTAAAAAAATAAAATGAAACAAGAATGAAAATGCGACGAAGCCTGCTACCCTGCCTTTTTATCCCTTCCTTCTGGGGTTCGGTGGGACTTCTGATTGGCCGAGGATGGGATTGTGAAGTTAACCAATGGGAAGACAGATTGAATAGCAACCAATCGGAGGTGCTAGCCGTCTTGACCTCACTAACTCTGATTGTCCAATAGACAAGAACAACCCTGAGTCATGTCATTTGCATACCGTCCCTATAAATACGGGGGTCGCTGCTATTGTATTGACGTCGTTCCTGCGGTAGACAGGTAGTGACAGACTTGTGAAATGCCGGAACCAGCTAAATCCGCTCCTGCTCCGAAGAAGGGGTCCAAGAAAGCCGTCACAAAGACGCAGAAGAAGGGTGACAAGAAACGTAGAAAGACTAGGAAGGAAAGCTACTCGATCTACGTGTACAAGGTGCTGAAGCAGGTGCACCCCGACACGGGCATCTCGTCCAAGGCCATGGGCATCATGAACTCCTTCGTCAACGACATCTTCGAGCGCATCGCCGGCGAGGCCTCGCGCCTGGCGCACTACAACAAGCGCTCCACCATCACCTCGCGGGAGATCCAGACGGCCGTGCGGCTCCTGCTGCCCGGCGAGCTGGCCAAGCACGCTGTCTCCGAGGGCACCAAGGCTGTCACCAAGTACACCAGCTCTAAGTAAATCTTCTGTTTGAAAGATCGTCTAAACCAAAGGCTCTTTTAAGAGCCACCCATATATTCAGTAAAAGAGTCGTTCACACAGATTTGATTCGGTGAGTGGTACTTGTATTTAGCACAGTTCTAGTTCCCAGGCTAGGACATGCTGTTTAATAGTGCTAATGTTTCCGGTTTTAAATACTGGGAATGATTTGGGTAGTATCGTGTGTGCTGTACCCTCGCTGTTTTTCGTGTAGGATTTTAATATTAAGTACGTAATCGAGTTCTAAAGCTTTATAATACAGTGTTCCTCATTTCAGAGTAAGTAGTTCTAGCTTTTAAGTACAGAGAAATATGCACGGTAGCGTTTAAGGTGTTTTGTTTCTTTTCCCCTTCCGATATGAAACAGCAGGGTTTTTTTTACTATTGCCACCTTTTCCCAATGCAGTTGATACTTATTTCTAATAAAATGTCGTCTCCTTTAAATGTTAACTGTTATTCTCACAGGGTTTGGCCGCAAGCCAGAGGCTTGTTTACTGAGAGCTCCATAGGGATTAGTCTGTCTATGTGCGATATTTGGAAGACAACGTTTCATAAATTTTGTCAAGAACATGCACAGCGAAAATGAAATGGTACAGAAAAATAATTACGTTAGTCCTAGATATTTCATATGGAAGTGGCGTCATTTTTTTTCTTTGCCGTCTCTTTGATGGACAATTACCGCAGC